CCGATGGCGTATGTTGAGACGGTGGGAGGTGTGAGGGTGGCAGAAGACGATGAGGTGGGGGTTGGGAAGAATGATGTGAGTATCTTCGTCTCCTTTCTTCATGTTCGGACAGCGACAGCGTACTCTGGTGTGAAATTCTGCTGACATCTGGTATCTATTGCAGATCTTGTCGTTCAAGGTCGGACGAGCATAGCTGGGCTCGCAGTCAAGCGTGCATAATGCTCACAGCGCACGACCCTCGTGAAGCGAGCGAGAAAACATGACTTCAACTCGACGAGACATCACGACTTTCGCGATACGAGACACGAACAAGACATCGAACAAGGAGATTGATACTACACTGTCTAAGACTCGACCATCACAGACAGCCTCGAGACCATCGCGTAGCTTGTGGCAGAAAAGATGTCTCACCGAGCGACGAGGTCAAGTACCCAGGATTTCTGCTCTCATGGCAATCAGCACACATCTCATTCTCACTCTCATTCTACTTCGCAACACATCTCATCTACACACATCGGAGCTGGTCTCCCAATCACGATCTCTTCTCTTCCACGATCTTGCTCGCACTTCTGCAAGCTAATTCACGATATCACCTACCGCCATCCGACCACGCAGCATAACACCCTCTCTACACGAAGAGATGCCTTCCTCCTCTCGCCACCATCAGCTCCGAACACCATGCGACACCCACCTCCACGCCCACGGCCGCTGCCTCTTACCTTTTCTTCGCGAGCTGGACTCGCCATCGCCGCCTTCAACGCCATCCTCCTCGCCTTTTCCGCCATCTTCCCCTTCGCCCTCACCACCATATCCTACAACACCGCGCATCCTTCTGCCCATTTTGGACCTTGACTCCGTACGCACTCAGGCTCTTCTCACCCTGGAACCCTCGCCCATACCTTCGATAGAGCCTCGAACGCCCGGGATTTACGCTCCGTCCCTACCTGTGACGCCCTTAAACCAGCGTCGAGGAGGCCGCTCGCGCTTTCGAACTCCGCGGCATGTCACTCCACTGCCTTACCCTATGCACTACCGACGTATGTGCTATCGATCGAGCGAGGACGATGACACCGACAGCGACGGCCAAGTATCTCCCCGGACTCGTGTGCCCCCGAGCCGCCGTCAACACCTACAGATGCCTACCTTTGGCTCCAGCTCCGACAGCGACAACGACGGCCGCGTCTCACCGCGTACTTTCATGCCATCACTGCGAAACCAACATATCCGGATACCTGAGCTAGGGGGTGCCGGGGTCGGCGGCGTGGCTCCACTTGGCGGATCGACATGGAACGGTGAGCTTCTCGCACCAATCTCGTCTGTCATAGATGACGTTCGCGATGTGGATCTTGACGTGCAAACGCCTCACCACATCATTCGCTCAATCGAGGATATCCTCGAATCACCACCGCCCGACTCTCCGGCGCATAGAGGTGCGGTGACCAGGATGGGCAATCTTGGGATGCTGCCACAGATATCGTACCCGAGGAACATGCCTATCAGTCGAGCAGCTTCCTTCGATGGTGCGTTCCTGTGCGATGGTAGCGCCTCCAGTGGGGAGGGTAGCGACGAATCGACGACCACCAACATGCCCGAGAGCACCCCAGAGGAGATGATGTTCCCAATGAGTCCGTTGCCGCCACCATCTGGATCGTACCCATACATCGAGAGGGCACACACTTTACTCAACGTCGCGACAACTTCACGAGGCCGGCAGTGTTCAATCCCGATCCCACCCTTCCCACGACCTCCGACATACCTGGATGCAGGGCTCCACGGACCGGGTTTCGATCCTGCCCTTCAGTTATCAGGTTCGTTCGAGGTAATGTGGCCTACTGCGAATGGAGCTCTCGAGTATGTGAGGCTGCCTGGGGACCGCTACGCGAGCCAAGCGATGCATGGCAGGACGAGTGAAGATATAAGAGCAAGGAGTCAAGAGTGGAGATCAAGATGATAGCGAGGGCGACGAAGGGTAGATGGCCATCTGGTTCAATGACGTTTATCGTGCAGGCGAGAGAAGTTTCTTAGGTGGTGGTGGTAAACACAGGCGTCTGGCGTTGGCTTTGAATGTGATTGACTCTTCACGCAAGAGCGCTCCCTTCACTTCGGTGACTTTGTCAAGACTACTGGGCCGTCACAAGGCTGACACGTGGATTTGCTTGGCAGTCGTCTGAGCATACTTCTAGGCATCGTCATCAGAAAATTGGCAACACCAAGATACACTTTCCATCCCCACCAAACTCTCACTGCACCTCATCGCCCAAGCACCGCAAGCGACAACTGCATACTTGGTAGTGTATGCGGCTACGTGTGCCTTGTACTTACGCCCAGGCTTGCAGTACTGGGCAAGGTAAGTATACTTCACCGTCCGCGGACTTCATATACCTCATATTTCGCTGTTCCCCTTGAGAGAGGAACACCGTCCCGGCCACTGCTCTCACTAACAGATATGGACCAGCCCATCCGAGTCGCTAATGATGACCTCATACCGTTGACCGACGACGAGATAAATGACTTCTTCGATGACCTAGACAAGGACAAAAACGGCCACATCACCTTCGACGAGCTCGAGCACAAACTGAAGCAAGTACACGATGAGCTTGCTCCAGAGCCACAAAAGCACCATCTCCACCACCCAGCACGGCAGGATCTGGAGAAGAATATCTCCCACAAAGGCGATGGCTTGCATGCTTTCCTTCTCGATCTCATGCCGGAGTGCGATTCAAGGCTCAGCAGACAAGACTTTGTCTCGCGGGTCCAGAAGTGGGAGGTTCCCAGCCAGAAGCAGACTGACAGCAAGGAATCAGATGCCCATGACTCTGCTCAAGGACGCAAAATGTCGCTGAGACGACGAGTACGTGCTTATTGGGCTGTCCATGGACCGGTGTACTGTTTCATGGCGTTCGTTGTGGCGCTGCAACTTGCCTTCGGGCTTTGGCAGATGATCATCTATATTCGCAACCCAGTTGCCCGGGCTGCCTTTGGCTGGGGTGTGGTACTTGCGAAGGCATCTGCTGGAGTGCTGTATCCCACCCTTTTCTTCATGCTGCTGAGCATGAGTCGGCACTTCTCGACTTGGCTGCGGCGGAGCTACTATATCTGTCGGTTCATCAACTGGGATCTCAACCAGGCGTTTCACATCAAGATGAGCATAGCCGGCCTGACTTTCGCGACTCTGCATGCTATCGGCCATCTCTCGGGCTCTTTCGTCTTCGGCTCTAGTCGCGGGAGGCAAGATGCGGTGGCACAAGCGCTTGGCCCGGACGCAGTACCCAGGCCATACGTGGTGTACGTTCGTAGTCTGCCTGGCTGGTCTGGTCTCACAGCTCTGGGACTCTTTTGGACCATTAGCTTGCTCAGCATGCCGTTCATTCGCAAGAAGAGCTACGAGATCTTCCAACTTGGCCACCTGCTCATGTTCCCCATGATTGGCTTGCTCTGCGCTCACGGTACTGCTGCATTGCTACAATCGCCCATGATGGGCTACTGGCTCGCTTTTCCAGCTTTGCTAATCATCTTCGAGCGCAGTTGGCGACTGATCAGAGGGTTCATGAGCATCCCGGCGAAAGGCAAGGTGCTGGACGACGAAACTGTTCTTATCACCTGCAGACATCCCCACGGGCATGATTGGCGCTATTCCGCCGGCCAGTATATTTTGCTTCAAATTCCGCAGCTCTCGCACTTCCAATGGCACCCGTTCACCATCTCCTCGTGCCGCGGGAACACTTTGCAGGTCCACGTCAAGATGGATGGCGACTGGACGAATAAGCTAGCAGAGCTTGTCGGCGACGAAGCCGACCTGAGAGTTGGCATCGACGGCCCTTTCGGAGCTCCTGCGCAGCGCTTCTACGACTATGACTATTCCATCATTGTTGGCGGTGGCATTGGCATCACGCCGTTCTCTGCCATCCTCACGGACCTGGAGGAGAGTTACACTGAGCGCAAAGATCCGTGGTCTGAGCGTCGGCGCTCTCGCTCAATCTCGCGAAGACGCCTTCCACAGCCCAGCAGCCTCACATCAACGCCATCCGAGGAGGATACAGCAAACCCAGTCAAGGGCACTAACGGCCGCCGTAGATCGCAGATTCCTTCGAAGCGTGTCGACTTCCACTGGACGGTGCGTGAGAAGAACAACCTCCTGTGGTTCTCAGACCTTCTCAATCGTGCCATCGCCGGCTCTCATCTGCTATCCAGCCAAGGCGACTTAGATCTGAACATTAAAACGCACGTCACTGCAAAGCGGAAGAACCTACCTACGCACGTCTTTCGGTATCTGTTAGACAGCTACCGTACGCCCGCGGCGCCATACTCGGCGTTGACGGGTTTGAAGCAGCCCTCACATTTCGGGCGACCGAATTTCGATGCCATACTGGAGAAGCATTTCGAGGAAGTCGTGGCGAGTGGGATAAGGGAGAAGAAGGTCGGCGTGTTTGTGAGTAGTCTCTTTCCTCCGTATCTCGTGAGTAGCATGCTGACGTTTGACTGTGTAGTACTGCGGCGCTCCTGTTGTAGGAGAAGTGCTTTCCGACAAGTGCCACACTCTGACCACCAAAGCACGAGCCATGGGTTTGAAGATTCGGTATGACTTTTTGATGGAGGTGTTCGGCTGAGGACTGAGATCAGAGTAGCCAGTCCTCTACACCAGTATCGATATGTGCTCATTCGTCTCTGCAGTACAACCAGGTGCTTGTTGGATCACTTGTCTCGGGCAGTAGCTCAAACTAGAGAACGCATCTGAATTGTACGTGACTGTTTCGCCCATGCCGTTCCGCGAGCCATACTGCAAGATTGTCATGCGTGCTCCTGTATTTGCAGTGGCCGACTAACGACATCACTGGTGCCGAGCACGCATGAGCGAGGCTTGAGCTGCACTCGGACTTTGCTGACTGCCCTTGAGTCACACTTCGACTCATACATGCATTTGCACCTACAGCAACACCGGCAGCATTTCGGAGCCCTGACATCAGCAACTTATGCCATTCGCGAGCATTTGCTTGCATCGAGGCGAATTGGTGTAGTGGTTAGCATTACCGCCTCTCACGCGGTAGACACGAGTTCGATTCTCGTATTCGTCATCACCAGTGCGAATCCTGCCTAATGGTGGGTGGCGCACTGGTGCACATTTTGCTCGTTCGAATGCTCTGTTCCTTTTTTGCGGCGCTCGAAAAGAGGTCTGATATAGAGTGAAGTCACTAAGAGCTTCGAGGCGGCCGTTCGACACAAAAAGCAAGACACCTTAGCATAATGGTCCGTTACCAATGCTCTGACTGCCGGTTACTGACCATTATATCATCCATTGGACGCAACACCCAGCCTGCGATACAAATGAATCTGATATCGCATGTCCTCCAGCTGAATCGGATACTGCAAACCAGTTGGCAGCCTGAACCACCTACTCTCGTCATTCTCCACTTTCTCCCACGCTACAACCTGCTCCTCGTCAGCCTTCCGGGAAGACTCCAGTAAAGTATGATCCAGCAACCAGAGCATTGGGTACTGCTTTTCCGTGCCTTTGATGGAGACGGTGGAGTAGCTGCCTGGACTGTCGACCACAAGCAGGAAGCTGCCACTGGGCATGGCTGAAGTGAGTTGAGCGAGTAGACGCTGCGTTTTGGGTATGGAAGCCGAGTAGAGCTCGTTGAGGACAAAGAAGAGCGTAACCAGCTTTGTGGTGGGCGTGATGATGGAAAGAATGCTAGGATCTTGCCAGGAGAGCACGTCTTGCTGTAAGAATTTGCACGAAAACTTGTCCTCAGGGAGTAAGGCATGGTTGGCTTCTCTGGCGGTCGCTGAAGCATATTTAGACAGCTCTGGGGCGGTCACGCAGTGCTTGTGTAAAGCCGCAACAGTCCGATCCCAGGCTGCAATGTCCACGAAGCGGGCTTTTAGTGCTGTCTCGGGGACGGATTCCAGCATCGTCGCCCACCACCCAGCCAGAGCAACAACCTCGCCTCCAGCCCCGCCACCCAGACATACGATCTCGAGTTGATCCAGATCCGTCTGTCTTCCAAGCACATGATGTTGAACATCTGCCAGAATCTGCAGGAATCCCACTGCTCTCGCCGGGCTCCATCGCGAGGCATACACCCTCAAATATTCTTCCTTCCCAAACGCTGCGTCAAAGTCGCGGTTGAACAAGTGCCCCTTCACTTCTTGCAGAACCGCCGTGTCGTCCACGCTCGGTGGAAGAGCATCGCGGAAGATGTTCAGGCACTTCTGCTGCAGCTCAAATGCTACCGAATTGCCTGTCTCATCGCTTCCTGCGGTCTCATCTTGCTTGGCTTTGATCGCCTTCTTGGCCTGCTTGATCTTGTATGCAGATGGCTTCGAGGCCCTGTGCTTTGTGCCCTTGCACTCCCTCCCACATGCTTCCGAGTGAGGCATCAGGAATTGTCTTCGACGTTGTGAGGTTGAAACTGCTTCTCTCCTCCGCGGGAATGCCAGCCACCGCCACCTGGCCGCAACCACAATCACATGTCAAAGACAATACACACGACAACAACTTCGCAACATAAGCCAACATGGACCCATTCAGCCCCGAAGGCGAGCTCCTTAACATCCACACAGCCTTCGTTCAAGGCCAATACGAAGCTGTGCTCAGCGACTACAACTTCTCAACATACAGCCAATCGAACCACCTCCCAGTCCAAGTCCTCCAATACCGAGCCCAATGTGCACTCGGGCAGTACGACGAAGTCATAGGCGCCATCTCCGACTCGGACGCTCGCTCAAAACCCGATCTCGCCGCCGTGAGGACCTACGCGAGCTATCTCTCAACACAATCGCCAGACGCGGTGCAAGAAGCTGAGCGGCTAGCGGAGCAAGAGGGCGACAATCTGAGCGTACAGCTATTATGTGGTACTATCCTCGCGCGAGCAGACAAGGCTGAGCAAGCTGCTCAATTACTGTCGAGACATACGGGATCTTTGGATGCCGTGGCCTTGCTGGTACAGGTCTACCTTCTGCAAAACCGTACAGATCTTGCACTGCAGCAAGCTAAATCTGCGCGGTCATTCGCACAAGATGCGCTGCTCGTGAACTTGGCTGAGAGCTGGGTCGGCATGCGACAAGGCGGTGAGCAGTACCAAAAGGCTTTCTACGTTTTCGAGGAGCTCGCGCAATCACCTTCTTCGGCATCGGCAATGAGTTTGGTCGCGCAGGCGGTCAGTGAGTTGCATTTGGGACGGGTGGAGGAGGCCGAGACGGCGTTGAATGCTGCTTTGGAGCTGGAGCCGGAGAATGTGACTGCGTTGAGCAATAAGCTTGTGCTGGATGCTGTTTCTGGTAGGAATACTGATGAGGCGAGGACGAGGCTGGAGAGTGTGGATAAGGACCATGAGGTTCTTGCTGGTATGGCGGCGAAGCGGGAGGCGTTTCGGGCGGCTATGGCGAAGTACAATCCGAAGTTCGAGCCGTGAGTCTTGCTGGCAGGCCTGGCATTGAGCAAAGCAGCATGGGATTACGGAGTCACGAATGATCGAGGTGAACGAAAAGACGCCTGAGGACTTGAAGTCGGCGCAATTAATGCTTCGTGCTTCACCACCATTTGAGGTGTGTACTGCTCTGAGGGGTCAAAAGCGAAGCTTGGGTCCGATGAAGACCAACAGGAAACACGCAATCCACAACCCAAAGATGAAAGCATAAAGCTTTATTCGTCCCCACCATCCTTGTCCCTCGCTCATCCGTCGCAGCATTCCCATCTTCTTCTCTGCAGCCTCCATGCCCTGTGCGCTCTTGTCTAGGCCGCCCTCTGCGCGCTTCAGCACATCCTTCTCTGCTTCCAGACTAGACGAGAACTGCAGTGACGACTCCTTCAGTGCTCGAGCGAGACCTATAAGTCCTGTCGTGAGCGTCTCCTGCTCTGTGCGATTATGTGACATCAGTGCCTCTGTGCGATTGAGGTCCGATGTTGGTTCTGTCTCTTTGCTACGCCCAGTAAACAGCTGTTCCCTCGCCGTACTCGACGCAGCCGTCAAATTATCCGAAGCGTTAAGTGGCCGTCGATTCCGTATTTGCTGTGCTTGTGGTACATCTATCCGTGGTCCTTGGGGATCACCTGTGTCTAGCCCAGCTTGTACGTCTTTTCGTGCTGGTGCGTATTCCTGTAGACCGCTACCTTCCTCGCCATCCTCTGCTTCATCGTCATCACTCTCATCATCCTCTTCTGCTTCGTCCAATTGGTTCAATTCCTGTAGCCGTGCCTGCAATTGTTTGACCAGATCTCGTTTCCGCTTTAGATCTGCTTGTAGTTGCTGCCGTTGAGAGTGGGCTGGTACTGTCGTGGATTGCTTCTCGAGTGTCAGGAGGAGTGTACGTGCGTACTCGATGTTGGCGCCAACGCGGTTGCGTTCGAATTGTGAGTGCTTTAGTCGTGGATCTGCTGAGGTTGGGTCGAGGAGAGAGTGGTCTAATTTGCCGAGAAGGCGTGTGAGCGTTGTTTGGGATGCTGTGTCCATGGTGCAATGTGATGTTGTGGGTTTCAGATGTTACCTGGTAGTCGTGTTGTCGCAAAAGTCTAGAAGCTGTCCTTTGCTTCAATGTTCCGAACATGGCAGGCACGACGTCAATCGTGCATCGGCCGGCACGGTCCATAGGCCCACTTTGGAACATTAGGGCAGCTCGACAAGCCCGAGTCTTACAACAACCTCCGACAAAACAATTCAGCATCTATCGGGCTTATTGCACCTTTAGAGAGCAAAATCGAACGATCGCAGGTGCTTTTAACCAGGTCTATGCAATCTCTCCGGGTCATTATCTCCTTTCAGGCTCCTCGTGCGATGTCGGTCGGCCAGAAAATTCACGGAGGTATCTATGGTAAAGGTAGTGAACGTACCACCATACTGTGCAGCCGAGAAGACTTTGGGAGATTTTGAGATGCACGGGGGGCATTCGGAGCGAGGGTGAGTCGTCAATACCATTAAAGCATAGTAGTGAGACTGTATTCGACGAGCACCTAAAGCTAAGAAGAAATATAACATCGGGCAGCCTCCTAGGCACTTTGTTGGAACTGGATATGGACCCCATGTCTCGGAACCAAGATTCCTCGGTATCGATGAGTGAGGCGCTCCTCGCTCGGAGCCCCACGCATGGCTTCGAAGTGTTGCGCAACACGGGCCAAGACAAAAGACATCTCTGTCAAAGCTAGCTGTCTGGGACGATATCAGTATTCGTCTCTAGTTGGTTGACCGTGAAAGAAAATACCGTCCCATACAGTTCCGTGGCCCTGAGCTGAATGGAGCGTATTCCGGTCCAACCGTTCTCCCTATCCACCGTGTTGGTTTCCAGACCCAGGCGTCGTCTCCCCACTCTTCAGCTCGCCGATGCATCAGGTACAAATTGCTGTTGAAAGTAGCTCCTTTAGGCACAGCTATTGGAGATTGACCATCGCGCCCTCCGCCCTTCGGTAAGACAGTGTCGCACAGCGCTGTCCGGGCAATTGTTGGCACGACCGGATGAAGACGCAGAGTTTCTGCAATGATCCCTTGGAGTAGATGGCATGTGCGAAGATGCTCCCAGGTCATAGGGCGCGCATCAACAGCGCCCTCCGTGCCGAAGGTGGCCAAGATTTCAGACCTCAGCCCAGCGAACACTGCTGGGTTGTTTCCCAGCTCCGCAAAAGCCCACTGAAGTGCCGTGCCGCTCATGTTTTGCCCAGCAATGCACAGCTCCAGTACATTGTGGCGCACGGCTGTTCGGTCTCGAAAGTCATCCAGGAGCTTGCTGACCAAGCATACCGTTGCATTGGAGTCGGTAGATACGGCGGCTTGGGCTGCGACATCATCAATTAGCCTATCTGCGAACTCCTCCATCTTTGCACAAGCGGCACGATACTGTGATGGAATGTTAGTACCTGACAAAATGGGTGCGGAGACTCGTATCTGACCTGAGGCCCATCAGCCATCCAGTACTTCGATCCGAGCGCTGCCCGCCATGTCACGAAGTCCGTGACTTGCTTCCAAGCGTTGGTGAAATCCTCAGTTAGAGCCATCGACTTGCCCAAGCGTGTGTCCGGGTTATTGTTCAAGGACGTGTTACCAGTTCTGCGCCGGACACCGCTTAACTGCGATTGAGCGGT